GGGGAGCATGACTCTTTTGACCTTCCTATACTCCGATTTTGCAGTTTTCTTAGTCAGTCTCCCAAAATAGTGAGGCAGAAATATTTGCAATTGTTATTAAAACAGAACTTTCTTACTTCAATAAGAATGAAAATGTGTGAATTAGTTAATACACATAGCATATGACTACATATATTTATGAAAGAAGTATGCATTCTGCTCTTCTGTGTAACAAATTACCAATTACTAGACAGGGAGCTAATGGTAAGAGTGAAGTGAGTGCATAATACCTTGTGCAACTGAAACCATCGGTTAATTCTGCAGAAGCAGAATTTCTGTATTTGTGTGGAACGTGCACAGCACTCCTCCCACTGCAGATGATGTTCTGTGTTATCAATTGCCTCAAAATATTTCTGTTATAGTGTATCTCTTATTTCAAGTACAAATAATATTACTAAAAGGGAAAGGTGGGGATACTATATATGAAATGACTTGCACACTTGGTTTTTCAAGACTGCCATCTAAGTACTGTTAAGTTTCATATTTTTGACCTTTTTTACATTTGCCATAGTAAAAATGTGATGTGAATGACTTATATGTTTAACCTTGCCTCCTTTTGAGTTATTCTGCAGCTCCACTGTTTAAGAGGCTGATGTTTGTTTCTTCTGTCCCTCAGCGGGTGGCTACATTTTCACTTAAACAGCTGGTCTTGCCATGGAAAAACATCTGTGGCTTGTGGGGGGTGACAGTGAATAGAGTAATTTGAGTATTTCCTTCTGCTTTTTTTTTTTTTTTTTAAGACTCACTACTAGTTTACTGCTTAACACAAGAGATTACATGCTAAATACTAGTGTTGGTCGAATTTGACATATATCCTTCATAACAAAGGAGAAGGAGTAGTGTGAACTAATGCGCTTAACAGAAGTATTGGAGCCAAGGCGGTAAGAAGAGAAGAAAAGCCCTTTTGGGTCAGCCCAGCAGGACTTCAAACCAGGATTCTGTCTGACAGTGGCCCTGAGAGATGCTCTTTAGGCAGAGCACACAAGCCTAGCTGCTCTCTGCAGTTTGTCCCCTTGTACTTTCCGAGTATCTGCAGTTTCTGTATTGGTGATGGTTGTATCCTTATTGGGTGCTTTTAGGGCCCATATATGGGTCTCTTGTCCAAGAACTTCTCTTTTCCTTTGTTTCTCCTCTCTTTAGAATCTCTCTAGTTTTCCTTGCTAAGGCAGGTGCTCCATCTTGCTCCTCAGCTGGTTTAGCCTTCTCTGACTCCCATCAGTTCTTCTAGAGCTACCGCGCTGAGACGTTCATGCGGGGCCAGCACCCGGTTGTCTGCACTGCCTCCGCCTTGGTCTCAGTGCCCTTCCTGCTCGTGCCCAGTGTTCCCGCTGAACAAAGAACTCAGGATGCCAGTGACCTGTCAATAGTGTTTCTAGATTCCCTTGCTGAGATGTCTGTCAGCATGGTGTAGGTATGATTTAGATTATTCTTCCTTCAGTGCATTAGCCTGTATCTATCTATACTGAAGCTCATTTGTCATCTTCTGGTTTAGAGTTCGAGTTTTGTAAGGTGCTTCTTGAGTTCCTTGCCATCAACATGGCACGAATTCTGCAAGGGACCTTCTGGTCTTTATTCTATTTTTCCAACAGTATCATTCCTTCTGACTTTTTTCATGTGTCATCTCATGGCTGTGAGTGATGAAAGTGTTATGGCAAATCAGTTAAAGTGTTCAGAGGTCTTAAAAAGGGCTTGAACATAAAAATCAAGGGTTTTTTTTTTTTTTTTTGATCTCAGCAAAAATAGGCTCAGAAGAATAACAGCTTAAGGATCTCTCAAGAAACCTCAGCAGAAAAAAAAGGAAAGAAAATTCTGAAAGATGCCGTTCGTAATATTTAATCCAACTGCACTGCATGGGGAAGTGAGAATGTAGTATATGACATTTGAACCACATTGATTACTGCTAAAAATACGCCTAGTTAATACCAAATAAGCTTTTAAAAACATAGGAATGTGAAGTGATGTTTACTCAAATAACCTTAATCCTTTCCCAGCCTCTCTACTGATTCACTGTAAATCAGTCTTAACTCCAATATCATCTAATTAATCATCTTTCATCTGTGAACAACATTTCACAGCGACATGAAGTAGTGTGCACAGCATCCTCCTACAAGCACACACCTTCCGTGGTTTTATCAGCCCACCATATGAGAAGGTTTCTTCATGTGCCTTGTTCAGAAACAGGCTACTACTCATTTGATATTCAGAGCATGTCACTTAGAGCTGCTGCACTGCAAACAGCATTGAGGGTGATGTTTAAAGAAATATTAGAAATTTATGATTAGTATGTTGCATTATTACTTGGTATTGCTTAGTAATAAATGTGTTTTCACAGCAGCGTAAGTGACTCCAACTGCTGTCTGCGACGCTCCTGTCGCTTCCCCTCTTCCCAGGCCCAAGATCCAATTCCCGCAGGGTGGCAGCGCTAACACCCAGCAGAGCCTTCGCGGAGCCCTCCAGCACGTGCAGCTGGCCAAGAGAACTCCTCCACCACAGCCCCCATCAAACACACACACAAAACCCAAGAAATATGGCTCCTGACACCTTGCATCTGCTCTGCAAGGGATCTTGGAAAGCTGATTCAAGGGAGGGACAGAACCATGAAGGGAGATGCGAGGGGAAGATGCTGATAGGCAGCAGTTAAATTGGCTTATGCAGTTGTCAAACTGCAGCCTGAAGTGCTGTTCTGTTCCTTGATTTATTGGTTTTGAAGCACAGGAGCTGTGCTAGCAGTCATCCCATTGCTTTCTTAATTCAGATTTAACTTGAAAATATTATATTTCACATACTTTAGATGCCTTTGCTGTTCTACTATCCATTGATAAGTTCCCCTTCTGCTGTGTAAATATGGGTACCCACAAGGCTGCAAAACTAGTCTTAGTTGTTTGCAGCAATAGGCTTCTTCTTTCAATTTGTTTTCCACTGTAACTCAGTTTAACAAGAGGGCTTTTTTCAATTAACATATTGCACTGAGTTTAGTAACTAGTGATCTGCAGTCAGCTGCCTGGTCTGTTTAATAGGTGCTATTTGCCAGAACCTCTAGGCACCCCAGCAAAGCAGGGCAAGGTTCTGGTGCAGCTCTTCTGCCTGGTGAGCCTGAACCCACCTCATGCTCCCTTCTCACAAACTGGATGAGGTTGTCCTTGTCTGCAGCAGCTGCAAAGTCACAGCAGCTTCTGTTAGCTGATACGCTTCGAGATTACAGCCAAGTGCAGAAAGGCAAGTTCATGGCGGCCCGCAAGGCTGTCAGAGGGACACGAGGGCTCCTTAGCGCACAGGCTATAGCTCCTTGCGGCGCTTGTAGGGCGCAGCAGTGGTATCTGATAAAGCTGAGGTGCCCACGTACAGAAGCTACCAAGAGAACGAGGCCAGTGACACGCTCAGCTGCCGTAAACAGGCTGTTGTCGTAACGTGGAGCTGGAGAACATATCTACCTCCTGTGGGTGGGATGGTATGTGTGAAGGAAGCTTCATTAACAGTGACATCCACAAAATATTCTAAATCACTTCATTTCTTGTATGTACATTTTCTAGGAAGACACTTTATATCTCAATTAAGAAATTGTTTGAATTGTCAGGCAGCTTATAAGAGTAAAAATAGTATATTCATGGCATTGTCCTGTATTAAATTTATTCTATTTAAAGCTTTCAAACTTTCCAAGATTTTCCACATAGAAAATTTATTTCATCCTTTTTAGAGTTAACCCATTAGTTTTTCTTTTGATAGAAATGTCTGATAGCCAAGTTTCATTTATAATAGATGTTTGTTAAAATGTCTCAGAAAATGCATTTCATCCCAAATGTAATTCTAAAAGAAATTCTGTTGTCTGTAATTCACTACTGTATTTGCTCAGAATCAACTAAGAAGCAACAAAACACAGTGTAAAAGGCAGGCTGCAGGTTTCAAATGTGAGAGTGTGAGTGGCCACACGGCAGACTTTCATGAGAAGAGCTCAGCTGCACAGGAAAGCTTTCCGCCAAGCCAGCGGAGACGAGAGCAGGTTGCGTCCGATGTCCCCAGTGCGCGCTTGGGCGGGACTCAGCTCTACGCTATTTACCGGAAACTTCTATGTGCAGATTTCAGATTACTGCTTGAAATCAAACATTAAGAACTTAGGAAATGAAGTATATTCCAAAAGTCTGGAATAGAATTTAGTAATCTCTAGTGTGCTATTTTTGCAATTTGGATGATGTTAAAAACATTTCACATGTTTATATACTTCTACATACTACCATACTAATATGCCACTTTGGGGTCAATTCTTCTATCCACAGGTTGTGTCTAATTTATGAAGTTAGAAATAAATGGGAATAGAATTCAGCATGTATTCAAACTAAGAAATATGTATTAAAATTCCATATTGTATGTATCTCACCTGAATGCTTCTCCTCTAGATTTTTTTTTTTGATGGATTTGAGTTTGAAGAAACAGAAGTTTGCATGGAGACATCAAGAAGCAAAATAAGAACTAACTTTTAGAAACGGGGTACTGTTTATTCAGCAGTACCCTCACCTGCAAGGTACCCTCACCTACCGTCTGCTACAAACTCCATTTTCAAACATAAAAAGGCAACTTTGAAAAATTCCAAGCTAAAATGTTTCCTGCGATTTGCTTCTTCACATTTAGTATTTCTAAAGAAGAAACAATAAGTCTTTAGAATTTTGGTATTGCTATCACTTGATCTGTAAAATGACTTGGGCAGTGCATCTCGCTTTCTAAAATCCCTCTGTAGCATTTGACATGATTTGGCTGCACTGTAATCCCAGGAACAGTCACAACAAAAGTGACTGGCAAGACAAGCAGTGAAGTCAGTGCAGCGTTAATGACTGTGCACGATGCAGCGTCGGGCAGCTCATACAGCAGGGAGGTGGGTGTAGGGGGCTTCTGCTGGGCTTGTCCATCCTCTTTGAGCAAAGAGCCACCAGGAGGTAAGACGCAGCTTCTGCCTGCTGCCTTTTGCTGTTTTTTGACTCTGTCATCTGGCTGTTGCTGCTCAACCCGCAATCCTACGTGTCAATCGGGCTAGCTGTAATGGGATTTCAGATGCTTAGTGGGCACGGGAGCCTGTGCCAGACCATACTCCTATTATATAATATTGAGTTACATTATGCTATGAAAACCACAGAGTTTTCAATTTGTTAATTTGTCACAGCTGAGGTCACCTCTTCACAATGTGAAAGCTCTAGGAAAGAAAAACATCTCTACAACTCTGTGCCAATGTACACAAGCACTGATGGATCCTTACATGTTACCGTGTGGAGCTAAAGTTGTGAAAGTCCCAAGGAAATTAAAGCCCCCAACTCTAACCCTTAGCAGTCTTAATCAGAAGCACAACGTATAGATATGGAATACAGCCATTTTGACTTACTCACTTCCTTAGTGCCGGTGATGTGACTTACAGGAATGGTGGTTGTGGTTTCAGAGCTTCACCCTTTCCTTGAGGTCCATCACTGGTGAAAATCCTTTGGGAAAAGCAGTGTGCGCTATGATCAATATTGCTCTGCTGCTCTCAGGCCTTCACTACCCAGCAGCTGGGTGCAATCAAGAAATATGTTACTACCTGTCCTAAAACTGTCCTAAAATGTCCTAGTTTTCTATATGATCATCCAGCTGAGTTGCTCTGTGCTTTTGTTTGATTCTTACACAATTTGATGAGGTGACTGCCCTGTAGCAAGACTTATGACATCCACAAACTAGCCAAGCGCATTCCAGCCAGGCCACTGCATGACTGCCAGTGAAACCAAGAGTCAGACCTACTCCGATTTCTCTATGAAACCTTCTGTTCAGATGGATTTGACTTTTACAACTTGATACCTTATATTTTGGAGCCAACTTAGTCCTGCCTGTATTGCAGAGAAAATGTACCGTGCCACTTCTTGTGATTCACTTCTTTCTAGCAAGGTACCAATTCTGCATTTCTCAGACTATCGTAGATCAGCTCCAATTACAGTGGATATTAGCTGTGCAGCCTGAATATTTAAAATATGCTCTACACATCCTTGAAGCTCATGCAGTTTTGAAGATATTTCCTGATACAGATGAGGCAAGGTTACATTTATAAAACATGTGCTCGTTTGAAAGTCATTTTTAACCACAAATTTAACAGCATGGCCTGTTAGCTCTATTGTGTTAGGCCGTTTAAATGTTTAAAGCTATTTTGTACTTTTTTTTTTTGGTGTAGCACACGTGCACAGATAGAAATAAGCATCTATTATCCTGTATGTTAAATCTTGATCCCCTGAATAAAAAAGTATAATGGTTAGTACTAGAAATAAGTTGTAGGTGAGCTACATAACAAGTGGTTTTAGCAGTCCTGCTTTTCTGTAGCGTTATTTTGGAGCGAGGAGCTCCCGGAGCGGAGGAGCTGCTGTGCCGTGCGGGGGAGGCTGCTCTCGCCCTGCTGCCCTCCCTCTCCGCCCTGCACGCAGCGGGTCTGCTGCATGCAGAGGCTGCAGGGAAGAGCGCTGTCGGGCTGTGGCGGAAGGGCTGCGGGCCGGCTCGGGCTGCTGCGTGCCAGCTAACTGCTCCCCACAGCTGCGGGCAGCGCGAGTGGCGCCCAGCTCTGTGGGGCCGGGAGGCCCTCAGAGCCCCGCATGTGCCCGGGGCCTCCAGCGCTTGCTGGGCCTGCTGAAGCTCAAGGGTGCTGGAGCGTGGGCCCTGTCAGAGCCTCGGCCAGGCGGCAGGAACCACATCTGCTGCTGTCTCTCTGCTGCATGATGGGGTAGCTGCTAAGGGGCTCTGCGGCAGCTTCCTTCTCTTGCCGAGTGGGATCTTCACTCCCCACAGAACTCGGGCTAGTATTTCCACAGTGACGATAAAAATGCTGATCAGAACTTTGGTTTCCTCTTTTCCCTATTCAGGAGCCTTTTAAATATGCAGCATGCATGTATTTATTTATGCATGCCTAAATTGTTAATCCGTTGTGTTTTTGAACCGCTTGTGAATTCTGAATTGTTTTGGCTTTGTACATGCTATTCTTAGGCGCAAGGATTTCATCGCCAACTGCATGATGTATTGCCGGATGTGCTGAGAAGGGCACAGCGTCAGTAATAGTAACTTTAGTTCGTTATCTCATAGACTATTTCCATGCAGCAAAACAGACTTTGAAGACACAAAGTTTGAGCTTTGTGTTTCTTCAGTGTTAAACCATGTTGAGCTTTTGTAACACTGTTTACCACCAGTTATATATATAAAATAGTCAGCACTCCTAAGTATGTTCCAGTCTTAGTTTCTTTTGGTATATGCTTAGCTAGGTAAAAATAGTTAATCTATTAACAAAAAAATACAGTAGCAGGTTATCTCATGGGTTAATAAAATACATGTGATTTTTCTTCTCCATCTAGAAAGATTTATAGCAGAACAATTCTGATAGATGAAGTTAAGAAATATGATGAAAAGAACTCATGAAGATGACTGTAGGATTTAGAAAAGGCAGTAATGAACCCCAGGGTGTTTGAATTAAGGACTTGCAACTAGAGAAATGTCTTTAACTATGTTAGGCTGGACATTTTCCAATGACATGAGTGACATGCTTAAAGATAAACAGATTTTCTAACTGTATCTTATAATAAATATTCAGGAGGTGTTCCCTATGAAGCACAGCACTAATATTTCATGTAAAGCAATTTAATCATTTCTATATTGGTTATACATGGGAAAGTTGCTACCACTGTAGCAAGGAGTATTACAAGCTAATACTGCCTTTATCTGAAGATATATTGGTTTGTGGTAATGAACTGTTACAATAACCTCAACCCACCTCTACACAAGCTCAGCTGTGGCTCTCTGGAGTTATCCTTCAAACAGGCTGTCACTGGTTATTATTCTGCATAAATAAATTCAAAGCAAAGAACTTTTACAATCAACAGAGCCACAGGAATGAAATAACATATTTGGCATTAACAAATATATAAAAGGCAGGCAAACATATATGTATGTAGATGGAAATAAGTAATAGGAAAAAGAGCAGACTTAATGATCATCCCATTTCTGATGAACTTCCACACTGAAATTCTTAGCTAAAACCATCCAGACTAAGTAAAAATGTCCTCTCAGACCTCAGTGAAGTTTCAGTCAGCCCTGAGTTCTCTACCTTCTTTCAGCGCAGAGACTTCCAGAAGCTGAGACTTAATGAATTTAAGTATATCCAGTTCTCAGTATTTAGACAGTTATATCACGTGTGTGTAGATGTAATATATATTTACATATAGTTATATATTTCCAGTGAATTCAGCAGCTCCCTTTTATCCCCGGAACAGCTTTGCAAAGATTGATAGTTGCCTTTTTCTCAGTTACTGCAGCCTCATCGGGACTCATCGGGAGACTCTCTGTACTAGGAGTTTGCTTTCATGGTGTTTGTTTGCTGTCGGGATCACCTTAGTCAGTTTTGATACTGTATCTGTTCTGGAAATATTAAGAGAGAAAGCTGTGAAAGCTTTGCAAATTTGGGCTATAAATGTAAGTTGCCAGCACAGATAATATTAAAGCTGAAATGCACTGCAGTGTTTCAGAGCAGATTCAAGTTTCCGGAGGATGGAATTTATGCTCATGGCATCAGACTCTTCTGAAAACGGTCCCCAAAAGAAGTGGGGAGGGTGGCAGGAAACAGTTTCCCAGTAGTCTTGTAGAAGGGTCTTCTCCATTTAAGGCTTCAAATAGGTAACTTTCACTAGTGTTAATGGCAATTTTGCACATAGACCAAACAAGCACCAGAAATGATAACAAAGTAAAGCAGAAATAATGAAAAAGAATAAGAAAAACATTATTAATTTGGCTTATGGTAAGTGTTTCTGGCTCTGCATAAGGAACAAAACTGCTGACATTTAAATCACTATCGTAATGTTTAATTTTTATTCTTAATTAAGAGATTTTTGCCTCATTTGCACAGTATTTTGTGTAGCACACATGGCTTTTTCACATGTATTTTGTGTACCACAAAAGACTGAAAACCTGGAGCTTTTCAGGGGGAACAAAATGAAAAAATGGCATGCTGTGTTTAAGGGTAGTTCGAAAGAACAGCATTCCTAGGAAATTTTTTTCCTCTCTTTTTTTTTTCCTAGGAGAAAGTGTAAACTAAGAAAAACTCTTCTTTCCTCTTTCCTTTTCTGACACAACCAAATTTTCATAGATAGCAAGATGTGTCATATACATATGGTGCTTTCTTCTCTTCAAATACACAACTCCTGTCATATGGGGACTGTGACCCAGTTCCTGTTGTGCCTAAATACTAAAGCCCTCTTATGGAGCCTAAAGACAACTATATAAAAAGGTATAAGTTACTTAATTGTTTTTGTTTGTCCGCTATGAGCTTGAAAAGAAAGCAACTTTATTTTCTCTTCTTCCTCTATCATACTTGAGTATTAAAATTGTTCTTTTGATTAAGTCATTACAGCATACACAGAAAACCCAACCCTGCAGGTATGAAGTACATAAAGCTTACGGAAAAGTCAATAGGAACTTCGTTCATGAAATGAGAATATCACTGAACTAAAGACTATACTACTGCTGCTACTAATAAAGCTTTGCATTAAGCTTGCAGTCATAGTACTATACCAGCTCCGTCATACTGAACACCTCCTGTGGAAATGCAGCTGGAATTCTAATGTTTACTCCAATACAGAACTGATGAATACGTGGCTCTAAAGAAAATATTTTTTTTCTTCCATTCTAGATAGTTACTGGGTGACACCGAAGATGATTACCTTGGCTCAGGAATTTGGCATATCCTTAGCAATCTCCTAGCTATCCTAACTTTCCAAATACTTTCAGAAGTCTTTATTGGATTTCTCTCCTGGATTGATAGGACCACATGCATGCTGCCTGTTTTTAGACCATTTGCAAGCATATATATTGTATATATATATGTATATATATGCTTGCATATATATGTATATATATGCTTGCATATATATTCCACAGCATGATACACAGGAAAGAAGAAAACTCGTTAGAAAAATTAGTAATTTTAAGAACACGAGTGTCCAGGCTATACGTCTTCTAAAAAAAGAGCCTTGCATAAAAAGTGTTTCTAAAGGTTTGTGATAGTGCTTTTTCAGTTGCATTTGTTAGTGGTGGCAAATGTTGATACTTGTAAAATGTTTTATCCCCAGAATAAAGCATAAGCAGGAGCAACTTAAACTAAGCTCCTCTGGGCTCATGTGCTTTAGCATTTTTTTAATTGAGTATCAATGCACAGTGAGCCAACTTACACACATACTTTATTTTTTTAACTAAGTTTCTGCCTTCAGTTAAAGTACACACATTAAGTTATGTGTGTGTAAAAATATGTTTTTAGGCTTGATGTAAAGTTGCCCATGAGTGAGAATGGTGGTGCTTTTATTTCTGACATGGACTGCTCCCTATGTGTGCAGTACAAACACATAATGACTCATGCCCTAAAGCAGGGAACTGCAGCAGCAGCAGCAGCAGCAAGCTCCTCGTGTGCCACTTTACTCGCCTGAGAAGCCAGTGCTGTGTAAGACCAGCTACACCCGAGCTGAGTTGTTGTCTCCTCACTGGAACCAACGTCAAGTATCTCAACTTTTAAGGGTCTTGTCATTTTTTAGGTTAAAGCAGAAGCCAACATTTCTGGGAGGAGGATAATTGTGTCAATTAAGATTTCTTTAGTGCCCACTGCTTCTATGTGTACCACTATTATACAGAGAAATATTAATGAATGTCATTTGGAAAAGAACTGTTTCTCTAATGTTCCTTAAAATATTTGCTGTTCTGAAGAAAGAATTAGAGAGAATGGGACTGTAATTTAATAAAGTCACCTGATAGCTATCTTTGCTATTATTAATTCTAGTCAGTTTTGGAACATTCCTTTATAGAAAAAGTCAAAAATTCACCTCTACATTTAACTAGAAGATGATAGATGATTTTCTGTTTTCGTAGAGGTTTGTTTTCCTGGTGTCCTGATTAAATTAGCAGTGTTATCCAGTGTTCACTAATGCAGTTCTAGCCACAGTATGAGCAGTCTTACAATCATTTGGGTTTTGCAGATTGTGATCCCTGCACTCTATTAAAAAAAACAAGGGGACAAAAAAAGCCCAGCAATAACAAAATGCTCCCCGGTCCCAGCACACTCACCCTTGGCAACTGATGGCACATAGCACTTTGCAATTATATAGCAGATTTGGCCACCAAGTTCTTTTCTGATTCCACCCAGCTGGGTATTAACTAAGTTCACATAGCATAAGAAGCAACAGTCCACCTAAAAGCTTACAGTCCTTTGAAATTATTTGCAGTCCCACTCAGTTTGTGAATGAAATCCAACCGAAAGGCAGTCTTTTTGCTATTCTGTGAAATAAATCCAGCATCTCCACTCTTGTCAGCATGTTAGCAGTTTCATTCCCCATATAAAATGGATTTCTAGCTTGTGACAAGACTATAATTTTTGCATAAATGGTTAGTTTTTATTGCACAGATATTTCTCAATTTGGAAAAATATTTTTTTTCTTGGTGCTAAAATTATTGAGGTGGGAGGTTTGCAAGGGAGAAACTGCAGTATCAGAACCCCATCCAGGCAAAGGGCTAAAAATGTATCTTAAGGACCATTAGGTATCATAATTGCACCTGGCAGTAGCAGAGTGTTTACATATATAAAATATATAGAGACGGATTTTCTTCTGGAAGTTCATAAAATAGCGGCTCCTTTAGAAGGGTAAATACCTGCAGGGTATGTGTTTGCTGCAGTTGCTAGGCAGCTGCTTATACTGTGTCTATGGGATATAATGGGAGTCATGTGTGAAATGCACTAACTGATCATTTACCTCAACCTGGTTCGAGCGGAATACGATGTTCGCAGGGCACATGTCGTTGTGCAAAGCGAGGAGCCAAGATGGATGATGTTAGTCATGTTGGGCAGCAGAGCCACTGCAGTATCCAGGGTACAGCGAATGTGTCAGCAGGCTGTCGAGAGCGTGTCACCTCCAGATGATTCATAGGCAGGGGTGTGATTAGGTGAGCAGAAAATTAATTCATTAGGTAGCTGGAAGAAAGGGACAGATGAGAGGAAAGAAAACCCATATTCAGATGTACCTGACAGATGTGGGAACGAGCAGGGCCTGAGCCCCGCAGGCGCTGAGGCGGCCGGCGAGATGAGGCGGTGGGAGCTGCTTGCCCGACTCCGCGGCGGAGCTGCCGTGCAGCTACAGACGCAGCTGCTGCGCTGCGAAATGGCAACATCCTCGACAGTCTGCTCAACTGCTTGGCTATCCAGCTTGTCTTCTATAATGTGACAAGTTCTAAGGCAGTCATACCTCGTTTGGAAGATAGATCTGCCATCACTGGGATTATTTTTGTTTGAACAGAGCCTTAACAATTTGGTATTCTTGGAGTGTTAAGTGATAGAGCTTTAATGCTTATATTTTGCACTATTCATAATTTCCCAAAATGTATAATTATTCAAATAATACTAAAGGTTTCCATTTTACTATCATATTCACATTTTTCAAAAATACTTTTTCCTTACTGAGTCAAGACAACAATCCTGCTTGAAGCTCCCCGTTAATTGCTTCGCTCCTCTGAGCCGCCGTGTGCATTCTTCTCCTACCCTGTATGGAGAGATCAAGTGTGTTTTCCTCAGCAATTACTGCATTTGTTCAAAGTGAATTAGAAAATCAAAAATGTTAGGAACTCTCTTTAATTAAATGATTAAAGATCCAGGCAGGCAGTGAAGCAGTGTGATGTTCACCTTCTTATTTTTTTTTCCTCTTTACTTAATGCCATAGAAGAATTAAGATGCGGCAGTACTATGCTGAGGATAAACTGCCAGAGAAGTGCCAGCGCTGCCTAGAGCTGTGTATGGTACCTGTTTGTAACTTCTCTAGCAGCTTTATCTTTCTAGGCTCAGGTGCCTCACCCTGGAGGATGC